TGTGGAACCAACCTAAATGTCCACCAACGGACAAATGGATAAGGAAAACATGGTGTATATACACCATGGAATACTACTATGCCATCAGAAAGAATGAAATTTTGCTATCGCAGCATGGATGAACTTGGAGAAAATTATGTTTAGTGAAATAAGCCAGGCACAGAGGAAAAATATGGCATGTCCTCACTCATAAGTGGGAGCTAAAAGAGAAAGAAGGAATGAAAGAAAGACCACAGTGGTGTGTTGGACTTGCAGAGGGAGAGAGCATAACTAGGATTGCAGAGTTGGTGGGGAGGGAGGGGGAGGGATGTCGGGGATTAATTGGGTGGGGGACATGGGGAATTATCACAATTAGAGGTAATGGGCACGCTGATAGTATTGATATGGCCATCACATCTTGGTTGTAAGTGGTAGTGGTCAGCTTTGTACCCCATGATTATGCATAACTAATAAAAATTTTTTAAAAAGAAGAAAAAAAATAAAATGACAATTAAAATACAAAAATAAATAAATAAAAGTAGACCAGTGAGAAGGTTCATTCTCTTGTTCTGCCCATTCTTGCCATGAGACACCCAGGTCACCAAAGACCCTGTGAATAGTTCCCACCAAGAAGAAGGCCCTCACCAAATGTGTTCCCAGAACTGTGGACTTTCCAGCCTCTGAAACTGTAAGAAATAAATTTCGTTTCTTTTTCAATTATTCCATTTCAGGTATTGTGTTATAAGCAACAGAAAGAGACTTATAAAGGTGATATTAAAAACTTTACAAATTTTTGTTAATCATGATTTCTTTCTGATTTTAAATATTTTCATTTCTGGAACTATGTCTCTTCAATTCTGTTTACTACCATATCACCTCACAGAGTCATATATCATATATACAAACCATACAAAGATAAGTAAAATTCATAGCCTTAATGTAGCTTCTATAAAATATTGTTCCCAAGACACAAAGAAAAAATATTTCTTGGTTATTATGACTAAAAATGATCCTTTACTGTTAACACACAAGGAAAACAGTAACAAAAAAATGGTAAGTTAATTCTGTGACTCTAACTGCTACTCAAAATCTGGTCCATGGATAGGACCAGCAGCATTAGCATCTTCTGGAAACTTATTAGGAATTCAAATCCTTGAACCCCATCTAGGCTTACAGAATCTATGGAGGTGGGGCCCAAAAATCTTTTTAACAAGTCTTCCAGGTAATTCTTAAGCACACCGACGCTGGAGAAGCACTACTCTAAAAATAAAACTTTAAAAATTTAACATTTTCTATCCAGAAATCAATACATCTGAGTAAAAGCTAACCTGCCTCTAATTAAGACCTAGTTTAGCGGCTATGTAAAAGGTGGCCTTTGGTTAAAAATATTTTAATGGCTTCCTTTCTGCTCGTAGGATACAGAGCACAATCCTCAACATGGCCTATAGGGTCTCGAAGTGCCTGGCCCCGCTTTACTCTTACTCTCTAGTCTTATCTTGTACCCGCCGTCTTGGCTTCTCACCACTCTAGCCTTTGTTTGGTTCCCCTGGTACATGCTGCTCTCTTGGCCCGAAAGGCTTTTCCACTATCCCTTAGCCTAGCTGACTCCTCTCAACTTTCACTTCCTCACAGAAGCTGTCCCTGACTTTCACAAATGAAATCACTTTAGCATAGAGTAAGCACTTACGTTTTGTTTGTTTTAATGAATGGATGACTATTATATGTTCTCATAGTACCATGCTTTATCGAAGACTGATTTGTTGATGTAACTATAGAGTTATAAGCAACATCATTTTACAATGCCTAGTCCCAGGACAGAGACTGAAGCTGTTTGTCCTCACCTTTCTACTGCCAGCGGCAATCACAGTATGTGATAAAGCTTTTAATAAACATTTATTAAATCTAAGGATGAATAAAAGTTTCTGATTGTTAGCATGTTTGGCTAAATCCAATCCTTTACTAACCTGTAGGGAGGAAAACCTGGAAGGCAACCCAAAGGCAAGCACAAAAGTAAGAGATTTCACATATAAATGCTTGGCTCAACAACTGTGTCAAGGTGGCCAATACACTGATAGAAACAGCGCCTAGCATGCTTCCTAGCACTGACAGTACACAAATATCTGGTAAATTAACAGCCACCACAGCAAGCACATTCTATTTTACAATTTTATTTATTTTTATTTATTTTTATTTATTTATTTTTTTTTGTCTTTTTCCGTGTCCGGCAATGGATCGCAACCCTCAGT